CCAAAGTTAGCCAAAAATGGCCGGCCAAATTTACACTCTTACATGAGACTGAATTCAAAAATTTACAAAGTAAAAACAGCTTAACTACATTGAAGGACCATAGCTTTTATTTAATAATCTCCTCCTAAAAGCTGTGCTATATCTACCTTATTATTTGAACTCCTATCTTTGAGCGTAGTTCTTCAAATTTTACCCGGCCAGGGACTTGGTGAAAATGTCTCCAAGTTGTTCCTCTGTTCGGATGAAATCAATCTTGATGAGCCCTCGATCTGCACATTCTCGAATGTAGTGGAATCTGATTTCTATGTGCTTGCTCTGGTCGTGCAAAACTGGATTTTTGATCAGAGAGATCGTTGCTTTGTTGTCCACGTATAGCATTGGTGGATCGCTTTCTCTCCCGATGAGTTCTTCCATTAGTCGCACAAGCCAGACCCCCTGTGTTGCTGCCATCGAAGCGGCGATGTATTCTGCTTCGCAGGAAGACAAAGCAACTACCTTCTGTTTTTTTTATTACTAGCAGATCACCCCACCTAAGAGGAAGTAGATCATTCCGCTGGTGCTCTTACGATCATCAACGTCACCGGCCATGTCACTATCACTGTAGCTGACCAGCTTGAGTTTCTCCTTTCCTCTCCCTGTGCAGTATCTTACACCCCAGCCTTTGGTTCCGGCTACATAGCGCAGAATGCGCTTGATAGCCACTAGATGCTCCTCCCTAGGTGCTTCCATAAACCTGCTCACATATCCAACAGAATAAGCAAGATCAGGACGAGTGTTTACCAAATAGCGCAGACTCCCGACAATGCTGCGATAATTGGTGGAGTCGACGGTCGTCATAGTGCCGGTCTTCCTTAGTTGGAGCTGGGCCTCCATTGGCGTCCTTGTAGGGTTACTGTCTGCTAGCCCAGTAGTATCCAACAGCTTATTTGCGTACGCACCTTGACAGATGGTGATGTCGGTAGTACTTTGTTGCACTTTGATGCCGAGTTAGTAGTTGAGTATGCCGAGATCGCTCATCTTGAAGTTCTTTGACATCTCCCTCTTGAATCTTCCGAGGACTTCCATGTCGCCTCCAGGGATTATGAGGTCGTCGACGTACACTCCCACGATCAGTCGCTGCTCGCCTGGCCATACGTGTATATGCCATGCTCAGAGGCACAGCGCTTGAACTTCAGTGAGAGTAGGGTACTATTGAGCTTCACATTCTCAGCTCATGGTGCTTGTCGAAGCCCGTAGAGTGCCTTGTGCAGGCGCAGTACCTTACCGGGGTTGTCGTTGTCCAGGAAGCCAGGTGGTTGTCGGACGTAGACGGTCTCCTTCAGCTCTCCGTTGAGGAAAGCGAACTTCACGTCCATATGGTGGACCTCCCAAGAGTAATGTGCCGCAATTCCCAGTAAAAGGCGGACATATTCTAAGCTTTCCACCGGCGCAAATACCTCTTCGAAGTCCACTCCTTGCTTCTGGATGTAGCCCATCGCCACCAGGCGGGCCTTGTACTTCACAATGTCTCCCTTTTCGTTGCGCTTCAATTTGAAGACCCATTTGAGCCCTATGGCTCGGTGTCCAGGCGGCATATCCTCTAGACTCCACGTCTGGTTCTCGGTGATGTATGTCATCTTCTCCTACATTGCCTTCAGCCAGCACGGGTTCTTTTCTGCTTCGACGAAGGTGTTCGGTTCATCTACACTCATGGCATGCAGTTCGGCCACTTCTTCGAGCTTGCGCGCTACCAATCCAGGTGGTTCACCTTCTCCCACTATGTTGTCCATCCTCCGGTACTTGGCCACCAGATCATCATCGTGATCGGCATCCAGCGTCGAATCCGCAATCCGTAGTGTTGCGAACTCCACTGGTTCAATGGGTGCACCTGCTAGCGGCGGTGACGGTTCCTGATGCTGGACTCCTCCTTCTTCTAGCTTGGTGACGAGGTACTCCACCGTGAATTGATTTGGGTTGTGGTCTACCTCGATCACGTTGTTCCACTGCCAGAAGGTGCTTTCGTCAAAGATGACGTCGCGAGACACGTGAGCTCGCCCCCCTACAGGATCATAGAGTTTGTACGCCTTGCTCCCGGGTTCATAGCCGATGAAGACGACCTTCAGCCCCCTGAGATCGAGCTTGGCGAGGTGGGGACTTGTTACCTTCATGTATGCGACACAGCCGAACACGCGGAAATGATGTACTGTTGGCTTTTTGTTGTACCAGGCCTCATATGGCGTCTTCCCGTCGAGGCTTCGTTGGTGACCGATTGAGGAGATAGACGGCCGTCATTACCGCCTCTCCCTAGAATCTCCCAGGCATCCCGGCCGTCACCAGCAATGACCTCGCTGTTCCGACGATGACCTGATTTCGGCACTCCACCACTCCGTTCTGTTGGGGGGAGTAGAGTGCCGTTAGGTGCCGAACTCGTCGCAGTACTTACGGAAACTTGTCGAGGTGAATTCTCTGCCTTGTTCTGTGCGTAGCACTCGCATCTTCTTCTCACATTCGGCCTCCGCTCGTACTTTAATGCGCTTAACCGCCTCTGCCGCCTCACTTTTCGCTTGCAGCAAGGTCAGCCACATGAAGCGGCTTTTGTCATCGACTAATAGGAGGAAGAGACTCTTACAGCCTGGGGTCGCCGACTTGATGGGCCCACAGATATCGCCGTGTACAAGCTCCAACGGCTCGTCGGCGCGGTAGGATGTCTGAGACGGAAAGGGTGTGCGCCTCTGTTTGCCGATGAGGCACCCGTCGCACAGCTTGTTCACGTTTTTGATTGCCGGCAAACCGTGCACCATCTTCTCCTTCTGTAGCTTTTCTAGAGCAAGAAAGTTTAAGTGCCCGTATCTCCTCTTCGGTCTTGGCCGAGAGGCTGACAGGTTGCTCTATCTCTAACTCCAGGATTAAAGACAGTTTGTCGTACACCAGACCTACATGAGTAGCCGTCGTCGATCATCGCAGATTTTGAGTAGCCCGCGCTCGATGGAAATGAAGCAGCCTACCTCATCGAGTTGACCCAGGCTCACAAGGTTATCCTTGAACCTCGGGATGAAGTAGACGTCGGTCAGCTTGCGGTGCTCGCCTCCCTTGCGGACGAACAGGATGGTGCCGCGTGTCACGGTCATGCTCGTCCAAGGCGTGTTGCCCATGGCCGCATGCCCATGACAAGCCCAACCCTTTTTGTCTTTTCATATTCTAGTGTTTTACTTTTATATTTCTAGGAAGTATTACGTTTCAGAAATATCATGTCTAGGCCTGTCAGACATGAGATGCCTCAGAATGTACTATAGGGGGATACGACTAGTTGTCAACTTCTCCCTACCCAAGGTTATATACTGTAAGCCGTTGTTATTTCTCTCTTGCTTGCTTATATAACGTCTCTTTCAAAAATCTCTCTTTCGAAAATCTCTCTCTGCCCTCGCTTTCTAAAACTTTCTCTTAAAACCGAGGCCAGAGGCTCGAGCATACGTCGCTTGGCCGTAGGCGACACAAGAACGAATTGGCTTAGCTCACTTGTTGTTGGAAAGTGAATGTCGTACAATCGCAAGTCCGCTGCTGCCATTAAAAGTGCGATTGTGACACCACGCCCTTCGATCTCGATGATGGAGCCATCGCCGAATTTCACCGTCCTGCGAATCTCCGAGTCGAGCTCGGAGAACGCAGATCTAGCCCTGGTCATATGGTTTGTTGCCCTTGTGTCGAGGATCCATCGCCGGTGCTCGTGCTGCTCGTCCCTCTCGCCAATCTTAGCGAACACTCTTCCCTCCTTCAATTGAATTGGCTCCCCAGCTGGTGCCGCCTTTCCTACGCCCAGTTGGAGCTCTTCCTCGGGTTCGACGTCGTCGTCGATTACCTCCACCTCCGTGGATTTGGAATCGAAATTGGGGATGTATGCACTTACCATGAAGAGAGCTGGCTCGTCCTCTTCGGATTGAGCCTTCTCGGCCTTCTCCTTGTTCCCTGAGCTTTGCTCCATCAATTCTTGCTCAGGTGACCTCTCTCCCACGTCCTCCTCGGATTGAGCCTTCTCGGCCTTCTCCTTGTTCCCTGAGCTTTGCTCCATCAATTCTTGCTCAGGTGACCTCTCTTCCCGCAGTTCGAGCACTGAATCGACCTGCCATCGGTCGACTCCTTCTTTTGATCCCCCATCTTTCCTGCATGTGCGCCCGCGAGATTTCCATGGTTTCTTGCTGCCCTTGCGGCTGGAGGGCCCGTTGCTCTCCCCGGTGTTCTCGTGGAGCTTTAGCTTTAGGCGTGCAAGCCATTCCTCCTCAATAGTCTTCTAGTCACCTCTTCCACCATTAGGTCGTTCACGTCAAGCAATGTCTCGATTGAAATCGTGTCTTGCTCAAGGTAATCAGGGACGACCTGCAGCTGCTCGATGTTGGATTCCCGCACTCGCTGCACACCAACCCGACGGAATTTGATTCCCTCCCAGGTCGATTGCGCGGTGCGCTTGGTGGAGAGAGACGCCAGCGGCATGGAGGAGTGAGTGAGCCTGCCCGAAATGAACCTCATGCTATGTGTGTATTTTTGCGCTTCGCATTTTCTTCTACTCAAACCTGAGACCGGTGTGTTGTTGGGTTGACGCTCTAATCACTTGAGCTATTCAACTTGACTGTTGATAAGATTGGCTCCTCCGCAATGATATACCACCGATGACTTCAACCGGGCTCTAATACCCCTTGTTGACTCTGGCAATTCGGAAGAAAACGTTAACGAAAAAACTGGCGGAAGGAAAAAATAGCGAAAAGAAAAAGGAGAGGGAGAGATTTGAAGACTCGATGTTGGGAGAGATTTGCTGAAGACTCGATGTTCTATTTCTGATTCGGTTGAATTCTTTAAATAAGAAACCTAATTACAAAAATAGTTGAATTCTTTAAATAAGAAACCTAATTACAAAAATAGAAAAAGTCGGCTACACTTCCCCGGGCTATTAAGCCAAAAATAAGCTCTTCCATAAGCTCTTCCATGACATGAATTCAGCAATAAGACAGCTTAACTACAACTACAACTCATTATAATATAAGATTGTATCCTTCATTGTATGAATTAGTAACTTAAACTCATTATCCACCATGTCTGAAAAAGTTCTGTACACAAAACAAACAAACAACAGCAAACTACAACTTCTTAGTAGTCACAAAAGCAACTGAATTACCAAAAACAAAACCGACACCAGAAATGTGTCTGCAACCACTTCAATTCGCCGATTCCTGCAGTATCCGCACCTCCGCCTCCGTCCCACCGTGGTCCTTCCCCGGCCTCCCTTGCCCCGCCGATTGGTCACCCGCTTTCCCCAGCCACGACCCCACCGTGTCTTTCACCATACCCACCACACTCCTCCCCGACTCCGTTGCACTCCCTTTCGGCGGCTCCCTAAATGCACTTTCTCCAACTTTCACCACCTCCTGCTTCCTTCTATTCAAAGCTTCCGAAATCACTTCCGACAGGGCTCTGTCCTCCTCCCCTGGCTTCAGCTTCTCTGTCACTGTTAAAGCTATCTTCGATGCCACAAAATCCTTCGCTGCCACTGCTTTTCCACTCACGGCTGAACCCACAGCTGAGATCTTCTGAGCGTAACTGACCTGATCTCTGCTTTGATTCTGTTCGTCGTTTACTTTCATTTTTGCAAATGAATCCAAAATCTGCGATTCCCCTGCTTCTTCGCTCCCTAGTTCAAAATGAAAACGGACAGACTAAAAAAAGGGTTTTTTTATTTTTTTTTTGATGTAAAATTAGTTACCTGTGCTTGCGGGATCGTGAACTTTGACCTCGGAATTACGAGGGTGAAGGTGGGTTTTGTCCTTAGGCGCGTGAGGATCCTCCTCCAACTTACTTGGAGACAGAGACATGGTCGTGTTTGAGGTATCAGCAGAGTTATCGACGGAAGTAAAGAGTGTGGTAACTGCAGCAGGACGACTTGTCGTTTCTCTTGGACCTGGAGGAGGCATTCCAATTCCGACGCCTTCATGCTGCCTTTCTCCACCCACACCGCCCCTCATTGCGGCACCTTCATACACTGCCCATCGTATGAAAGATCTATGTAATTTGGGTCGAGGATGGTTGAGAGGAGTCCTAAGTTAGCTAATCTTTTTAGCGAAAGATGATGGGTTTATAGAAATATTCCCTCCGACCAATATCGTACCATTGTTGGATTTCTAGGAATATTCTCTCCATGAGTACGAGACCAATACAGTCTCACGTTCTCTAATTTAGGGGAAGATATGGGTTTATAAGAATATTCTCTCCATGGATATGAACCAATATCGTACCATTGTTAGATTTATTAGTACGAGACCAATACCGTACCATGGTAAAGTCTCACGTTCGCTAATTTAGGGGAAGATGATGGGTTTATAGGAATATTCTCTCCATGGGTATGAACCATTATCATACCATTGTTAGATTTATAGGAATATTCTCCCCATTAGTACGAGACCAATATCGTACCATTGTGAAGAATTTAGTGGAAGATAATGGATTTATAGGAATACTCTCTCCATTAGTACGAGACCAATATCGTACTATTGTGGAGGATTGTGATTTCTAACATGGTACGTATCAGAACCATATCCTTAATTTAGTCATGTCAATAGAATTCTCAAACGTCGAACAAAGAAAGAAATTGCTAGCCTCAAAGATGTAGTCAAAAGTGATTCATATGTCGAACAAAGGGTGTACTTTGTTCGAAGACTCCAAAAAAAGGAGTCGAGCCTCAATTGGAAGGAGGCTGTTCGAGGGCTACATAGACCTTAGGAGAAGCTCTATGGTAAACTTTGTTCGAGGGGAGAATGGTTAGGGAGAGTCGGCTAATTTAGTGGAAGATCGGAGACTCACAGAAAAGTCATGAGAGATCATGCTGAACGTACACAATATCATACCATATCATTGTGAAGGGTCGTGATTCCTAACCATTTGAGTTATTTTTTAAGCATCCAAAAGGGAAAAGAGATACCAGAATCTTCAAGAACCTCCTCATCATCTTCTTCTTCATCATCATCATCGTAGTCATGAGGATGGTCATGGGCGCCATGCTTTGTAATATTGTCCTTAATCTTCTTAGCCTTAGCCTTCACTTTCTTCAACACTGACTGCTTCTCATGATGCTGCCCATCTTCTTCCCCTTCCACACCTACCAAAATGTCATTTTCCCTGTTTTTCTACGCCAAAAACAATCAACTACAAAAGTACAGAATGATACCTTGGTGATGCTGTTGCTGAGGGGCGATTTGGGAGTCCATAATGAAAGAACGTGACAAGATAAGTATGAGAGATAGTAATTATAGTAAGGAAGGGAAGAGGGTATGTCTTAGTGGGAGTTTTTGCATGGATGTGTGGCCGTTTAAGAAGAAGACACGAAGTAACTAGTTAAGGGTAATGCACACGTAGAATACAACGTGGCATGTCACTCTTGTGGGAATCATCTTTTTTTTTACGTAATGGATAATTAGAGACTGAATGCCTCACCACCACAGAAGGTAATCGGTGTTTATATTTTAATCCTGTTTAATTTTGCGTCTAATAAATTATGATATTGATGGATCGAAAATCAGAATCCAAATTAAGGAAATAGATTTGATTGGATTGAATGGAGTTGGGCCAGTCAACTTGGACTAGTCGTCCCTAACTTTGAGAAACAACTACCGGCCCGTGTATTCTTTGTATGACCATTTCTTTTATAATGACTCCACGTTTTCTTTTAAAATAAGATTGTAAAATATATGAAGGAGGACGTTCGCTTTTCAAAATTTAGAAATAAAATGTTATTGAGTTATCTTTTAACCTTAAGACTATAACTTAAATAAGGCGGGTACTATATGTATATTATGACTACTATGTGTAGAACCATCATTTAAACAAATTACGGTAAACATTGTTATGGATTTAAATGTTTATAAAACATGATAATAGGTGGAAATACGAACGTTAACATTCTTTTTCAAAGTTTAGAAATAAAATGATATTGACTTATCCCAACATTAAGACTACAACTTAAATGTAGAAACCGAGTTGTCATGATTTGATTCCATGGCCTGTACTGTTGAGGCTGTCATCCTACTTAGGGCCCTTGCCTTTACCAAAAAAAAAAAAGAAAGAAAAAAAAGTTAAATGTGATGTGAGTGTTTAAAAATACTCAAAAAGTGACCTTACTGACGAGATCGATAAATACAATCACGTGCAAATATGGTTCATGGTGGAGTCTACTTCTCGTGACTATTTCTTTGGCTCTACTTCTCACACACGAACCCACTAGGTGGGATCGTATACGTTCTCTAGATCTGACTACAGACTAGCGCATGCTAACGTTGTAGGAAACCAACAGAAAGAAAGAAGCGTGTATCATATCATTGTGTATGTGTCCGTACAAGACATATTGAGAAAGTATCCTGTGCTTGTGACGCAATCATGCATAAGGTCTCACATTTTCAAATCACGACATATGGTTATGATGCACATCATACTTCCATACTTTTCATGATATAACCTTCCTATGAGACACACATACGTATACATGACATATCATTCATGCTTATCATACATGACTCATCAACTGTCTCTCGTAGGTATAACTTGAACATGATATCACAACAGGAAGGACATGCATCATAGAAAGATCATAAACATCACATGATACAAGTAATAAAATATAGATAAGCCACATAGTATGTGTACGTTATTCATACAACATATATGGAGGCGACAATCAATTTGAAAAGAATTCCAATAACAAAGATCGATAACTAAGTTATCAAAAGATTATGGAAGATGTTAGGAATCACGACTCTAGGAATCACGACTCTCTCCACAATGGTATGATATTGTCCACTTTGAGCATAAGTTCTCATTGCTTTGTTTTGAGCTTCCCTAAAAGGCCTCAGTCCAATGAAGATGTATTTGATTACTAATAAACCCATGATCATTCCCTAAATTAGTCAACGTGAGACTCTCACTCCCAACAATCCTCAACAATTCTCCCCTCGAACAAAGTACACTATAAGCCTCCCCTTGATCGAGGCTCGACTTCTTTCTCTGAAGCCCTCGTACAAAGTACACCCTTTATTTGACAATTTAGTCACTTTTTTACTACACCTTCGAGGCTCACAATCTTTGTTCGATATTTGAGAATTCTATTATCATGGCTAAGTTTAGGGTATGACTCTGATATCGTGTCAGGAATCACAACTCTTCACAATAGTATGATATTGTCCATTTTGAGCATAAGCTCTCATTGTTTTGCTTTTGGCTTCTCCAAAAGGCCTCAAACCAATGGAGATGTATTCCTTTACTTATAGACCCATGATCATTCCCTAAATTAGCCAACGTGGACTCACTCCTAACAATCCTCAACAGAAGAGACACACCATTGTTCACACTAGCTATGGAGGTTTGAAAAATGGACGAAGATGTCTCTCCCATTTGAGTCGTCTTTGTCGTATCTTGCTAGAGCTGAACTAATTACAATAGTTTATTTTTAATATTTTTAAAAGTATATGAATTTTGTAAATAAGATATTTTAAAAATAGAAAGAGCAATTCCAAAAAGGGTATCTTCTTTTCTCTAATCTCTAAATTTGATAGAAATATCATTAAAAAGATCTCTAAAAAGGAAAGGAAAAGGGAAGAGGAATGAAATGAATTACATCGCAATAGGGGTATTTTTGTAAAAAGTAAAGCTATTTAACTAATATAAAATTTAAAATTGGGGGACATATAATGCCCCCATTTGCAGCGCCAAATTCAGTTTAGCTTCACCGTGACCGTTGTCGCTCTTTTCACTGTCTCGCTCTGTCTTTCGAAATGCGAACTCGGTTCCTCAACATTGATTTTTTCGCTCCAGGAAACGAATCCTTTCACCGCCTTCCTGTCCCTCACCTCGTTTCTAATCCACTTTCCACTGTCGGCGACCTTCTCCACTTCGATTTTCTCCCTGAAATCTCTCTTGGAATCGATAGCTTATCAATCGATTCTGCTATCTCCAGGTTCTTTGACGACGTTCTTCCGCGTAGAATCGTGGATGATGATGTTTATCGCGATGCTGGTTGTCAGTCTTCTGGATTTCATGGTTCCGCGGAGAGGATTTTCTCTTCGGAAAGTGTTGGAACTCGACTTCGGGAGGTAAAACTTTTTGCTCAATCAATGCTATTCAATTTCATTACAGATCTCGAGTGAATGTTCTGTACTTCTTGTGGCTGTGAAAAAAAATCTGTTCGTGAGAGATTCTACGAAGTTTATGTTTAATAGCATAATAAGCTTGATTAAGTCTAGGAACGGTCTTTAGCTCAATTTTTACGATTCTCAAGGCTTTCTAATATTCTTCAGAAGATATCCTCATTTCTGCTTTAATTACGTGATTATTTTTATGTGAATCCGAAGCGGTGACCGAACTCAAGAGTCACGTCATTGTGAGGCAACAAATTGTCAACTGAAAGGATTGTTAAAACATGAAATGATTTCCAATGGATATACTTTTATGCATGATTTTCATGTAAAGCCGATTTGAGATGTTTCGGATGAACTTTTGTGGTTTTATGTTTCTGTCTTCTAATCTAACTTTTTCACAGAAATGCATCTTCAAAGTGAAATATAATCTATATAATACAAAAAGCCTGCCATACAAGATTTCTCACGCTAGGGAACCACAACCACGTAGGGCAATGTTGTTTCTTAAGATGGGGAGAGCGAAGAGAAAACTTGGTGTCTAGGAGAATGACTTCTTCCTTCACCTGTAGTTATCAGTACTTGATTTGATTGCAAAATAGCACGTTTGCTGACAATGATTAAAATTGCTGTTGACTGGATCGCCTCTATATTGTCGAACCCAACAAATGTAACTTATCAACTAGATGAGCTGGGACGAAATAACAATACTCTAGCACTTTAAAGTACATTTTGATTCTATTTTTTGTTTAACAAATGTGAAAAATACTAATATACAACGTCAAAATGAGTTAATTTTTATCATACTTCATAACATTTCTTTTCTTCTTCGACAATAATAACAATTATTATTAATAGTATATAGATTCTCAGTAATGTTTTTATTATTATTATTATTTTTTATTTTTTTTTTATGTACATCACCTTTGGACAACCTTTAAAATTGTCATCTTAGACCTGAAACACCGCTTCTATCCTGATATATTTATTTAAAAAGATAAAATTAAGATTGAATTGGAGAGTAACCATCGAGTCCTTGAGACAATGTTTAAAATTACTACATTATGGTTACGAAGTAGCAACTCTTGAGGTTCTCATATTGATGTATCAATACTGGCTACCCAGATTATGGGCATTCTTCAGTGTAGTTTTGTGATTCTCAAGGTAATATCTTGGAGGTTCTCGTAATTTCTAATTTTATTCGTTAAATAAACGTTTCTCCATTGAAGGAAAATGTAGTTAATGATTCAATAGTTAGGTATAAATTAGATTAGTATTAGATTGAGTAATGTCACAGAACGCCTATCATTCTAACTAAAAAGAAACCTCCATGATTTATTTTGCAACCTGCACTAGGAGAACTAGTTAGAACCAATCTTGACATACCATTTCTTCTTTCACCTTTTTTGGGCAAGTTTTCATGTGTTTCCTCAAATAAAATAATCATGATTATGTTTTTTTTAACTCTTCATCTTAAACTCTAGATATTTTTCTTTAAAGGATTCTGGTAGTGGTATGTACCTCCATCACTTAGTCAGCATTTCCTCTTTCCTTTTCTTGTTCATTTTTGTGGATTGCAGGAAGAAGCTAAGGGTACTTATGAAGATAATATGGAGGGGAGTTGGAAGAATTTTGGATCTGAAACTTCAGAGATGGAATTCGTAAAAGTGCCCTTCTAGCTTTCTTGAGATAAATTATTTTGTTGCATTGTTATGGTATAATGAGGATTTGAATATATAATATATGTTGTGGCAGAAGGATATTGGGACTGAAATACGGAATAGAAACTTTTCAAATGATATGATCCAATTTGAAACACCTCAGCTTGATACGTTCTTGGTATGGTGTATGACTATTTAAAGTGAAGAATACATTTGTGGTTTATTCTACTTAACTGATCTTTGGTTACGTTGTGTTAATTTTTTTGCTCATATCTGTAGGAAAATGCCTTCTTGTTTGAGAAGGAGGAGGTACAAATTCTGACGGCAATGCCAGAGGTTGAATTTGATCTTGTAAGTGGAATATCCTTGTAAATAATTCCCGTAATTGATGTGATAAGCTAGATTTCATGTCGTCCATAGTGTTGCTAAAGAGAACAGGAATATTAAGACTTTCAACATTTTTTCATTCTTAGGATTCTGATGGACAATGGAACAAGAAGTTATGACATCTTGTTTAGAAGATAGTATTTGGGTACAAGAAAAATAATTAAGTTATTATAATTGATTGATAATGGTATAAGCAGTTGCCTTAGTTTAGAACAAGGAAGATGATAACGTTATTATAATTGGTAGACAATGGATTAGGACGTTACGAATGACATTATTTTAGGATAAAGAAAATTGTAAAGTTATTATAATTAGACAGACAGGTGCAAAACGTTCTGCATGTCTTTGCACCTATCTGAACTCTGAAGTGAAGATTTTGCTTGGAAGAAGATAACGAGTTTTCTCTCATTCTTATTGTGAGATTAGAGGATTGACAACTTAAGATGTATTGACTGAGAAATAATGATTAATTCGCTTAGCTTTTTCATAATGCACAGTATTATGTGCATTACTCAACTTTTTATTTAAGCCATATTTATGAAGAATTATCTCGTCAGTGGCTGTTGAAGGATAATTAAATAATTTAATGGAACTAGTTGACTTCCTAATTTATCTTTTTGGATTTATTTATATTTAGTTAACTGGTATATAGAGATTTCAATAATATAGATTATCTAGTGATTTAGAAATAGCATTTCTCCCTTATAAAAAGGGACATGTAATTTCGAAAATTAATAAGAAAAGAGTCAATTTATACTTGCAACAATGGCTTTCAAAAGTTTACATATATTGCTATAATGCTGGTGATGCCAGTGTAAACCTAACTGTCGGCAGGTCTCTCATAGTTATAACTAACTAACTCTTCTATTCAAGGTTTTCTCTACTATTTCTTTCACATAGATGAACTTTCTTATTTTCCGGGTATCCTCTCTTCTTATAGAACTTTAGTTTTTGTGTGAAGTCTGCAAATCTAAAAAAGTCACATGTATCTTCCTCATGTTTTTTTTTTTTCTTCACAATTTTTAATGGTTTCTCGTTATAGGTAAAATGACGATAATTTGGATATTTATTGCAGGAGACCCTTAATCAAGGGCTTCTTAAATACCCTTCCGAGGTCAAAGAATCAATTTATGATGTTGAAATCATTCCCTCAGAATATCTCTTGGACCAAGAATCTTGCTTGTTTGAAGATGATTTTGCTCAGGACCAGAAGCTATCGCATCAATTCACCTTTCCCTTTTTAGAAGTAGACGAGATGGTTCTTGAAACTTTGGCATTCTTGTCGTTGCAGGATGAACTTTTCTTTATTCTTGAGAGTACTGAATCAGCTCACATGATACATGATGATAATTTACTTGTCAATAATGAAGAATACTTGTCCTCCATGAGGTGTGATGCTGAAGAGTTTCTTTCAGATCATTTTTTGAGGCCATGTGGTGTTTCTGAGTTGGCATCCCCTGACATATCTGGAGGATCGTCTGACTTAATGAGCATGATGGAAACTTTGGAGATTGCAGTGAGCTCTGAAGTTCAAACAAAATCAAGTTGTGATTTGTCTGTAGAACCAGCTATTTTTGAAGAATTCCAGCTGCTGGACACATACTCAAATCAACATTTTGGAGCCATCTTTGATTTGGAAGTATCGGCCATGTCAGAAATTACTGACTGTACATCCATTGAAAACACGAATTTCAAGAGTTTCAATGAATTGATTGTTTGTCATGAACTTGTCCTCGTAGATGACACGTTCAAATCATTACCTGTGCCTATACTATCTAGTCAGGGATCTGAAAAACTCCTGAATGCCTTCATAGAGGATGTTCTAGCCAACCTAAATAAACAATCATTATCAGCTTCCGATGGCATATATTTGGATTGGCATCTATTGGATGAAAGTAGCTACAGCTCTGGACTTTATTCTTCGTATCAGAATATGTTGGAAGAAATTAATTTGAAACCCGTAGAATTTGACCGGGAACCTTGTGAAAATGATGGTATATTTTATAGATACGTTTTCTCAGATGATGCTTTAGTAAGGGAAAGAACAGAAGACAAGGGTGAACTAAAGGAGTCTTTTCCTGAGGGTATTCCAATGCTTTCTGGTCAAACTATTGACGTTGCTTCAAGCATATTATTGAATGAAAGATGTCAACAAAAAGAAAGGCAAGGTCTTGCAGCTGTTGGAAATTCCGAGAAGGCTTTATCGTCATGGAAATCAAAATCAGAGTCCAACGATCTCAAGTTTTTCTTGAATTCTCAAAAACCTGTTGGCGTGAGAAAGAGTGAATCTGTATTTAGTGAAATTGACACCAATACTACTCTCCCCAAGGTTCCACGTGATGGAATATTGACTAACAAACCTTCTATGTCCAGTGCTGATGATAGTCTGAAGCAATTGAATGTTGCAGTACATCAAGTTTGTCTGTCTGATAACATTCTACATCTCATTAATAACTCTGAGAAAACTTATCTCGCTATCTTGCAGAATGAGACAGAGCTGAGGAAGAAATATCTTCCTTATGTAGCTGAAGATTATTTATTAATGCTCAGCCTTCCGAAACAGAAGTTGATAGACTGTATTAAGAAAATATATCTGCAAGGGACCAATACTTACTGGGAAGAAAAGATAATGACATTAGCCACGTTATATGCCACTAAACAGATAGTTTGGTATTTGTGTTTCTATGGTATCCACCCAGCTCATCTATATCTAAAGAAGTTATGTCAGAGCTCGGAGTGCTTAAAATCGAGGTTGGGTTTCTTGGTGTCATCGATTGAGGAAGCAGGAAAAATGGTTGGCAGAGAAATTACCATATCGCATCCGGCACTTACTACTATCCAGGAAATCTTATGCTCAAGGACTTCTACCAGTAGTCTCAAAGTTCTGGTTGTAGCCAACCAAATTTTCTGGTGGTCATTGGAAAAATTGCTCGGGTCCTTGGGGATATCCTTTGCAGAGATAAATTATGGGAGTCTTACAGTTGAGCAAGTATCTAACGCAAACGCTATGGTTGATGACCTTGCTTCCAATTGTTTATTGGTATCCCAAGAGTAAGTTCCAGATTTAGTAAGTAAACACTTCACAAGCTACTTGTTGTAGGTACATGTTTTAAATGCTAAATGAAACTAGAAACTTAACATGTAATGAACGATGAGGGAGGTTTCATGGATAATTAAACATTCACTCATTAATTATCAGTTGTTGACTTTAAGCGTAGGTTATGCAGCAACAGATGAACGCATGTTATGAGTTTTATGAGATAACTTTATTTTCTGCAATTAGGTTTTTTTTTTCCCTAGTGCATTATAGATATATTTTTTTCTCATGCTAGTATTTAATTTGTTTTTCAATGTTCATCACTCAAACGAATTATAGCCATAAATTGGGAATATTCAATGTGAAATATCATGCATTTGCATGTAGATAATCCATCACAGGCAACGTTTAAATGAAAAAAGGACTAGGGAGAATACCCTACGCAATGACACCAAAGGGAAAGAAAACCTATTTTCATCAAAATATTTTTCCTTTATGGAATATTTTGCATCCAGGGCTAGATATAGTGTTGTATAGTTTAATTTAAAACGAATTTTATTCCTTAGGTTTTAATTGATGAGAAGAATACCTTCTCCATTGATATAATGGATTTGACTTGTACATGTCCATTGGAGTGCTTTTTATTTTTTATATTTTCCCCTTGAGCTTAGTGTCATAGAGAACTTGTTCTTTTTCAAAAATATGTTTGTAAATTGTTGTTTTTTTCCTTTTGGTATTAAAAAAAAAAAAAGAAAGAAACTAGCTGATGCTCAAGCAGAGATTCAAATTCAAGTGTTGAGGTAAATTTTCATTTTTTAACAATTGTGAATTGTGACATGGTGTTCCATGCTTCTTGTATGAGTAAAAATTAAATCGAAATAAGAACGTATGGAATCCAAATGCGATAATCCTGGTATTGCAACTTTCAGAATATTTTTTCATCCAATTTTTGCCTTTTGACTTCGGGTCGAGTTCTCAATTATTATTATGGCACATTCTAAATTCAATGATGTGTTTGGAAGAACTAAAAATGTTGGTTCTTCCCCAATTTCAAGGTACATATCTGGGAGTTTTCCATTCAATAAATTTAGCATTGTCTTGGAATATGGAGGTCTGAATGGTTCTTCTCAGATCTCCGCTTACTTTTCAAATTTAATCGACATGCCTCATCTACACTTCATAATGTTGGAACTGGATAAGTGTGGCAATTGCAAAGCATTTTGTGAAGGTGTTGATTTTCCTCAACATAATGAACTGACAATCGTAAGTTTGTTCCTCATACAAGTTTGCTGCTATATTGCTATTAAGTAATGCCAATGATTATTATGGGATTACATGCTTTTATTGAGTTGTAAAAATATGTTACCATACCTATCCTTAAATTTACAATTGATTAATTCTTTCTGCATCTGTTCTTAGGAAGAGAAGTCTTTGGTGGAGAATCAGACCATGATGTTGGAGAAATTGTTGAACTTTTTACCTGTTGAGGAAAAGTATATATTGGCCTCTCCAAAGAAAACAATAGAAGCAGAAAATCGCAGAGTGCCTCTGCGAGCACCAGTAGAACCAGTCTCAGATAAATCTCAATATACTGACCTTGTGTCCTTTCCTGAGGCAATTATTATTGTGAACACTCAGAAATTTGAAAAGGAAATGATTGTATGTAGAAGAAGTTCCTATCGAAGAATTCTTGCATTGGAGAAAGAAGGAGTGCAGGTTGTGGAACGAGATCTGTGTTTGCCTGTGGATCTAATAATTGCTCCTGGAATTTGCTTATTTTGGTATGACTGCACAAATATTGACAGGAAAGGCAGTACTTCAAATGAAGCTTCTTTGTGCTTGAATTTATGCATAGAGAATATTGCAACAGATGTTTTGACCTCTCTAAGTTTCGCTTTTCGTGGTTGCGTCCTGGTAATTTTTCTACTTTATGAAGACTGTTTATTCTTATTATTTGAATAGACTTTTTCCCATTACCTTCATTTCTTCTCTTTTTGACTCCCTTCCTATGCAATTGACATTATTGTCATAGTTTTATAACTGAACTACTTTAGCATAGTCTTTTATTCTTCTTGAAGATGCCAGAGTTATCTTTAATTTTTGTTGAAAGTTAGAGACAGGATCTACCTGCCAGCTACATGCTATAGCTCTGATGCTGAACATGAAAAATCATTGTTTTAGTTATGAGTTAGGAAGGTGCCAAAAAATGAAAAATTTGTAAATTGCACAGGAGGTCGAACCAAACGAGGAATTTAACAGCTTGTTTTCATGTCTTGGGTAGAGGTTTATTAGAATCCAGGGAAGTTGATTGAAGCAATATTTTAGATATAAAAGTCTGATTCTGTGAACTTGTCCCTTCTCTATAAACACTGGCACTTGGTTTGTTCGTGGAAAATAAGAGTCCTTAATTTCCTGGAGTTTGCAAACAGGCATGTATAATGTTTTTCATTTTCTTTAATGATTCAAGACTTGGTTCGTATTCACTCATTTTTTATATTTCAGTTTTGAAAAGTGATGACCAAATTTGTGCACAAATGAAAAAGAAACTTTAGTCAAGTGATTACAGTGTATGCAGGATCTGTCATTGTCTCTAAAATCTTTTTCATTATTAGCTATACTTCAATTCCTGCATTTGCTTTCATGGACATGGAATTTTTTTCATCATAGTGCAGGAATTAGTTGGTTAAAAGAGCTCAGTAGACTGATTGTTGCTTGTTATTGGTATATTATAATCAGGTGCATAATCCCTGATATTGGTTATTCTCTCTTTTGATACAAATAGTAGATTTCTTTTCAGGTCTTCGAAGGAGAAATCAGTTCCCTTTCCATCGTAATGGAATCATCAGATGGACTTTATGCTGCAGCAGCAAGTTTAGAAATTGATTTTCAGCTCTTCTGTTCCTATTCATCTGAGTTGACGGATGAAATTATCCTAGGCTGCATTGAAAATGTTTCTAAGTTGATGACCAGGCGCATATACCCCAAGATGTCTGAATCAGAAACTCTTGCTGAATCATTTCTTACGAGTTTCCCTTCAATTAATCCTTTGATAGCTCACGGGATACTTTCTTCAGAAAGCCTTCTTGCTGACTTTCTAGAGTGGCCACATGAGCGCAGGCTCCATGCAATTAGAAAATATAGTATTCCCGATGACTGTATCTCTCTATTTAGTGCTCTGTGCAAATATGGTGAGCGGGAGGATTCAAAATCTGTGATGACAGACTGCTCCTCTTCGCTATCTTCTGGTGCTGATTCAGAAAAGTGTCACTTTAATGGTAATTCTGAAAGGAAGAGAAGAAACTTCACTGGTGGTACCCAATGCATTGAGAAAAATACGGATTGCTTGTATTCCAATACGCTGAATCCGTTTACTGCTGGCACTGCAGAAACTTTAGTAGCATCCAAGTCATTTGGTTCTCAACTGTTTGAAGATCCCGAAATATTTTGTGATCTCAAAGGTTTATCTTCATCTGTAAATAATTTCTTTGATCAAAACCATAATCTAGCGTCTTTTGATGCAACTGTATCGATGGATCCTACCAGGGTCTGCAAGCCACGTGATTGTTGGATCTCCACAGCTCCTGAAATATCCGATGAGATTAGAAGACATTGTTCACCATTTGTCCAAAATCAGGGTTTAGACCGAAGTAAAAAGAAAATACACAGCTTTCATAATATGAATAAGTCTGAGAATCACCATGAGGAGCTTATAGCTGAAGTAGACAACTTGATTGATAACCCTGTATTAAAAGATCACTTTGCAACTATGGCTCCTATGAATTTCTTGCCTTCGATGCTTGAGAATGAAACAGATTCATCAAGAAAGTCTAAAATTCAAAGAAGATTGTCTTATGGACAAAGCGATCACCCTTTCTGTGCAGTTGATGTTGGGAACAACTCGAGTTCAGATTTTTGGAGTTCTATCAATTTGCATGGACAGAGTTCACGAGGATTGGACAATCAGTTTCCAGATCCTAGTTTCGAACCCAGTATTATGCCTCTTAGGTACAAGGATGATCATTTAGATGAGGGTTTAACACAAAATCATTTAAGAGATTCAAAAGTATCGTTTTCACTTTCAGAGAAGGACACATCACATTCTGATGTAACCCCATTGTCCGTTGCTCTCCGTTCAAAACATCTTCAAGAAAGTTCACCTTGGACTATGGAATTTCTTAACCGAATTAGGGAAAAGAGCAGAAATCGTCAGCATTCGGTTCCACGTGGCTCATCTTCACCTTTTCCTGAGAATTTGGGTAATGTAAAAAAAACTGTTAAAAGAAGAAGTCCCTCCATTCTTGAATTTTTCAAGTACCAAGGGGGAAGCACTCTGCGGAAGAAACCGGAACAAAAGAGACACAAACCATCAACACAATCATCAAACTCATCCAAGAATGTCTTAGTTGCAACTCGTGAACTTTCTTCAGGGACGCCTATTGATAAAAGATCAAGACAGGTTTATATGTGCTTATTTCTGATACCACATGTTAGACAGTTTTCTACATTCTTTAAAACAATTTCTCTGAAATCACTTTCAGACTTTATCTTATGCAACTGATGGCAATGGGAGCCAAACTAAGCTGGTCTGGAGCAATGACAATTATGGTTTAGGAAAAAACTCACAGAAACTTGGTAATAAATGATCCAATGGAACTGCATATGCTGGCAAACTAACAGGTCATTATTTCTCTCTTTCTTCTTTAATTTTGTATCTTTGAAGTTATAAAATACAGTAATTATGCTTAATGTGCAGATTTTCATCAGCGAACTATTCTAATACAACTGAAATGGTGATACTGCAGCTTAATCGCAAAGATATATCCTTGATATTTCACTGGTAAGCTTTATTGGATCCACAACCATATCTTTTAATAGTAAATTAGAAGCATAGAATTCTCATATCGACATTGTCCCATCAACTCATGATTAGTGGCAAACTGATTTTAGCCTGTAGATGAAACTGTTATTTCTCTTTTGCGTAAAGAATATGCACTTTTACTTTAGAAGCCTTACTCCAGAAAAATTAAATAAAACCATTTCTTCAAGTAATGCCAATAGTTTTAGTTTCCAAACATATAAATTTGGAGTCGTCTCGATTGGATCTAATTTCACCTATACATTTGTGACTAGAACACTGTTAATTTGTAGGAAGTGTTAATATAACAATTTTGAGAGTGATGTTTTGGTAATTTATGTTCTGTTATTTCAAAATCTGTAACTTGCGAGGTGCCACACTGCAGCTGCGCTGTCGTGACCTTGACAGAGAACCAAAGCACTGGGATCATCCTCAGATGTGTTCAAACATCCTGTATCTTGACAAGCTTAGAATTTTATTATGTTCATACTCAAATACCACTTTACCTAATTTAATCATGAAAGGAAGATTTCTGTCCATGTTTGGGAGCTCCTTATTCATGATTCTAGCAAAATGCACTGCATTGAATTTGTTACCGTGTCAAGATGAGTGGATAACTTAAAACTGACAGTTTTTCTCTTCATAGATGGAATCATGATTTTGATCATCTTAATAAAACCCTTATCTAGAATGGAGGCTCAAGAACATAAAAGTGTTGACTATGATTATACCCTTTTTACCTAATTGTTACCATTAACTTTCTGAACCCAGCACATTGCGACCTTATTGGAAGCTAACTCTATAGGAAAAAATATCTGGAATATAAGGCCCCCGATTTGTAGTTTGGTGCTGAAGCTTGAGGGTAAGAAAAATGGGCTCGTCTCCCAATAGAAAGAAACAAAAAAAAATGAGGGAATAATCTTCTGACAGCAAATATCTATAATTTTCTAATTTTCAATAAATTGGTTATACCAAGTTTTCTGTTTAAGCACTCGATATTTTCCTGCTGAATATTCTCAATGACTTGGTGAAGAACCAGGTAAAAATACTAATTTCTTTTACTATTTTTAAGGTTTCGCACAGTCATTACAAGTTGTTGTCTTTCGCCTTCTACTTCTGCAAATTTGAGACTTATTTCTGAGTATCTCTCTTCCATTTCTTTCAGCTCTCTTTCCATAGTTTGGTTCTTTTCCTTAAGAGAGGACATTTCAGTAAGGAGGTCAATACAACAGTCATCGTTACTTTTACCAGAAGTTGACAATTTCAGTTCCTTATTTGATGAGTTTGAGTCCACTTTCCTGCAAATCAGAATTAACATTTGTATATTTAAGTAAAGAGCCATTATAAGACCCATAAAATACAAGTAAATTATGGAAATGAACATGCTTCTGAATGTTGAACTGATTGACTGCTTATACCTTCCACAAAGTTCTCCATGAACACTGTTCTGGTTCGCTCTCTCTTCTTTATTACTTGTTTTGGTGATACCAGAACGGTTGATGTCCTACATTTCAAAGACATCTGATGTGTTAGCAGTCTAGAACATGGATGAAGTTATATAAGTGAAACAAAAAACAAGGTCTAATAAGGACAACATTAGCCTAGTATGAGGAAAATTCATTTCATTTTTTATTCTTGATATCTTATTTTTCACAGAGAACTATGATAAACACTAACTGCTTGACAGTCTTTTCACATGCTCCATTCATGATGATCTGGAATTTATGTAGATGGAGACAGGAGTCACCCTGATGAGGTAATCTGAATGTGTATGATTACTTATAATGCTTCTCAGTAGAAAAAAATACGTTAGGTAGCTAAGTTAATGTAGTTTTGTACTTGCAGCAGAGCTTTGACCATTTAGATTAATTCTGAACATAATCTTGTTCTCTAAGTGACTGTCGAGATGATTCTTCTCTAGAACAAAGATAACTTTGTATTTACTACAATACTAGTTCCTTGCAGCTGCATTGCTTGCTGTCATACATTGACAGTAGATATTATCTTTCTTTCTTCTATTTCATTTTTGAATATATGTTTAATCATAAAAATTTAGTACTTTCTAACTATATAAATGGTGGGGAGGACTTGGAAAACATCAATTTTTCGGAATTTTGTGTAATATTTTGTATCTAGATATTTAGTTAAAGGGCTGGAGAACTACCTGAAGCGATTGCATCACCTCTTCTGAAGCTGAAAGCTCCTGCATGGTATGAGGAAGCGTTTGAGATACATTATGAATTGATGCTGAGGTTAGATTCAAAGCTGAAATTTCTTGAACTTCCAAATTGATGTTTGACATGCAAGAAGTTCTCACCTTATTTTGTAGTTCACTCTTTAGTTCGAGTACTTGTTTTCTTAGGTTTTCTTTCTCAGAATTTTCTGTCCGTGATTCCTTCCTTAGCTCATTAATTTGTGCTCTAAGGCTTTCCATTTCAGCTAGTAGATTGTCAATTAATCTATCTTGCTCGTGTTTGGAAGCTTTCATTCTAATCAGCTCTTCCTGTACCTTTTCTGCTTCTCTCTTCGAAAAAGCGATCTCTTTTTCTAAAATTTCCCTTTCTTTCCTTCTTTCTTCCGACGCTTCCATTTCAGAAATTGAACATTCAGGTTGTTCGCTCTCTGCCTGCTTTGCAATGTGCTTTTCTGCATTTAGCGTTTCTATATTTGATTTCAGCATTTGGATTTCCTCCTTCTGATAGACTTCATGCTCTTTCGCATCTTCAAGTTGTCTGGACTTATTATCTAGCTCCATTGACATGTGATGCATTTCATTTGTTTTTAACTCTAGCTGGAAGGAAAGGTCATGCAGTTTTTCTTCGCTCTTTTCTGAATCTTCATTAGATTTCTGAAGCATTTCTTTCAATACTACTTTCTGCAGTCGCAATTCATTTATTTCTTTGACAGATTTAATGATTCTCTTTTCATTATCATTTAACTTGGAAGCCATTTCCATTGAGAACTTTTTATTTCTCTCCTGAAGAATGACGGCTTTTATGGCATTTTTCCATCTTGTCTTACTCAATGCTTCTTTTGCTTCTATAGCCATTTTTTCCAACTTTACATTAGCATGTTTGATGGCATTGAATTCGTCATGATACTCACGAGTCTGCTTTTCCAATTCTCTCTCCATGCGCTTGATCTGACCTTCAAGCTCATTGATTGAGATCAAAGATTCTGAAAACTCCTCAGTCTGTATTCGGAGTTTTTCTTCTAGCCTTTCTATTTCAGATTCCAGTTCTTTTATAACAGCCAAAGAACCCGAGTATTCATTCTGTTTTCTGAGATATTCTGCCTTGTTTCTCTCGAACTTTGCAGTGATGTCTTCGTTTTCTTGCTTGAGGATTTCATTGTCTGACATGAGTTGTTCTAAATGCATCTCTAGCTCTTCTATGTTCTTCAAGTGCATTTCTATTTCTCCATTCAAATCTTTGATCTCCTGTTTCAACATGTCCACTTCCTTGACATTGTCATACCCTTGAATCAACTCTTTTGGCACTTTTGGGTTCTCATCATTATTCCTTTTACAATCATAAGCAACTTTTCCATCACTCTCCGAGGATTCTAAAGTTCTTGAAAGATCAGCGATTACCCGATTCTTTAGCTCAATCATTTCTTCGAGATCTCTCACTGCAAGAACTAAATCAGAGTTGGAGTCTTGTGTTTTCTGCAGTTGAAGCTGTTGATCAATTCGTAATTCCTTTTCCTGCTTAAGCTCTTCCCGTATTGCAGCCAACTGAATCCCTGCTTCCTTTATCTCAGACTTCAAAGTTTTGGAGTCCCCTGCCTCGTCATTACATTTCTTCAAGAACTTGAGTTGTTTGCACTCTGTCTTGAGTGCATCCCTTTCCTCAGTAAGGCAAATGATTTGTCGTGATAGATTCTGCCCTTGTATGGTCTCCTTCGTGACCTGTTTACGAAGAGACTGCAACTCCATTTCTGTTACTTCTAGCTTTCTCATGAGCATAACATTCTCATTTCTTACCCTTTCAATCGAACTATTTGGAAGCTGGTGCATCTTTTCTCTTGAAGTGTGTTCTTCAATACTATTTCCTGAGTCACCAAAACTTCCATCTGAAACTGAACCCAGTGACCATTCCGTATTTGATCGCTTATGCGCTTGGTTTTTCACCCTAGTGGTGTCGACCGTTGCCTTAGTCATGGAGTTCTGTCTAAGGGATGACAAACGGGTAGGACTTTGGATAGCATTCTTCTTTGATCTGGAATCCTGTTGAGTATTTCTTTCATCGTTACTACCATCCCAGTATGATGCAAATTTAGCAGAATTACAGCCAGGGGATATTTTAGAGTTGCCATTTTGTTCTGCATCCTCACGTAATGTACTTAAGTCGCCATTCTGCAATTCCACCAATATAATTTGGATCAAGCGAATGGGTCAACCTATCCTTAGTGATTACGAAGTTTTTTTATTGAAAATGAAAGGGAAATCTTTCTTCAATCAAATTGGTTCTAACTTCAAGGAAACTATTCTTCATTAAAATATGTTTCGCAGGTGCTGTTCCTAAATTCGAAATGAATTGGAAAATTGGAATGAGACCTTACTTCTGTGGGATAATGGCTTCCTTCTGTACTTGAAAAGCTAAGCTGGCTATTAAAGAGGTTCTCATGTTGACATGTCGCAGCTCCGTTCTCTTCATAATCTCTGTTAATTGGAAACTAAAACTTCATAAGGTGAGGCAGATGGAAAACAAGCAAAAAAAGAAAGGGTCACACTGTAAATTAAAATAAATCTCAGGTTCTTGTTATTACCTTCTATCATTATCTCCCTCCATTTTATGAATAGTCACCTGTTTAGTCAATTTCCATGAATATCAGGAACATCCACATATATAAGAAATAATGTCATGGCAGTTTTACTAGACTTCAAATTTCTAGGTACAGCTCAAGTGGATGAGAAATATAGAGAACCAACGTGTAGTATGGCGCCAGAGTTTGCGAACTTGAGAGGAAGGGAAACTGTCATGGGTTCAGTTTCTGCTTCAAAGTCTGCAAAATCAATTGAAGCTTCGCCCACAAAGCCAGATTTTGATGATCCCTGCACATACACACAAAAGTTTACAACTTGCTCCACCAGATGGCTAATTACGAACTGGAGAGTATTTGGAAGTCTGTGTTGCTATAACTTACCGTTGAAACCACAAAATGGTAAATTTTCTCATTGATTTTTCCTGTTTTTATCTCCCTAACAAGCTTGACTGTTTCATAAACAGGATTCTCCCACACACAAGTTCCATCTTGAATAGCAGCTTTCTCAAGCTTCACTGTTGCCTTTCCCACATCATCTGGCACCAAAGATATCATCAAAGCCGGTTTCTTCAACTTCGGCACCTGAAAGAAAGCCAATAGTACTGGGTAAGATCCTGTCCCATACAAAATTGAGTTGAAAAGTTCAAACTTCAAATATTCTGTAGCCATCAGCGTATTATCTCGTTAAAATTACTGAAAATTTATTACTAATTAACACTAATATTTTTAGAAAACCAGTAAAAATTACCGACATTTCATGTTGATCAGAGAAAAATGTAGTTAACTACTCCGGCTTTCAAAATCATTACCTCTGTTGCCTGGAATTGCAGTTTGAATACAGCTTTGATCTTCTGCTTCTTGCTCCATGATTTGAACATTTTTCAAATTCTGTTTCAGATCTCCAAGAATGAACCTCTAGTTCCTGACCAGAAAACCCACCAGGCTCTTATCGAATATAAAATGTTGTTTAGAACTTGAAGTCGGTCTGATGAATTGTTCTGGTTTGAACCGGAATAAATTCTCTCCTCCCTGGTCGCTGCAATATTGGAAAATCCTGAAAGCAGCAATAAAAGATGGGGGCCTATAAAAATTAAGTTTTGTGGAGATGGAGATGGAAAAGATGAGGCGAAACAAGTAAAGAACTAGTTACGTGGGAAGAACAACTGAGAAGTTTCTCTCCCATGGCAATCAGACAAGCAGCTGTGCAGTATTGGAAGAGGAACAACGCAGAAATGCATTATGATTTACTTTTGGCTGCAAAAGGCAGCGGTGCAATGCTGCCGCTATTTTCTAAATGACAAATGTGACCCTCTACTTTAATGATACCTCTCCATCAACTAAATGAAAACTTTATTTCAACGTTGGGAACAATGCGGGTCACGAGCTTTTGGCCTTCCACGTTATTCCAAGCTTGGTAAAATTTCTCACATTCAACTGTTTATTTATTTATTGTGTACTCTTAAACTTTATCATTGGTCTAAAGTTGGTAATATTATCTTCGATATTTTATAAATATTTCAAAACTTTTTAAAAGAATTTTCTTGAGACTTAGAACAAGGTGTTTGAATTCCAGTTCTATTTGGGAGGGTATTTTTGTAATTTGCCCTTATTTATATTCTGGTTCACTCATTTCTTCAACAATTTTCTTCATTAAGTTGCAGTTTGGTGCCTTGTTGATTTCAGATTGTTTCATATCAATTTTATATAATAATTTCAATGGCAGTTTAGAGTTCTCTTTTCCAGAGCACAGTGGTCCTGCACTGTTGAAGTGTTGTAACAACCATATTTATATCTCCAAGGTACGGCGACTCAGATGGCATACTATTCAACATATTGATTACTGGTTTAGATCTATAGTATCAATGTTTTGACTAATTAAATTAAGTTCTATTTAAATTTAATTTCATCTCATTTGGAACCTGGTTCGTTCAGCCTATTTCGAAATTTTATTTGCCCTACTAATTAATAGCCTTTCTGTCCTTTTCTCTCTAATTAGCTGGATTCAGAGTGACCTACAAGTTTTTTCTTTTCCTTCTTTTTTTCTGTTTTTTATTCTTTTAGGTTAACATTCACTTTTTCCCCTTTTGTATCTTGAGTCTACAATTTAGTTGCCTTTTATTCTACTTCTTTGTTTATTTATTTGTTTTAGGTGATTTTGATGTGATTCCCCACTATTATTAACATTAGTACATTATCATGTTTTAAAATTATTTTGTGTTATTGATGCTATGCTTACGTTCCATCACTTCCTTCAGACTAGTCATATTTTATTTTATTAATTTCTTTGATTTTTTGTGGTAGATTGATATTAAAGTTATAAAAGTTTTAATTCCTCAAGGTTAGTATTTTATAAGTGAAGCTTAATTTTGAGTTAGAAATTAACTAAATGTTGAGCACTGGTATATGTGATAGACGAATCCAGCTAAATTGGTGGGCACCTTACTTCACTTTTTGTTTGAATTTTTGGAAAATTATCATGTGCAATTAATAACACATGACATACTGTAGATTACCATTATGTGTAATTAATGAAGAAAACCCATCATGTGTTAATAATCAATATCATTCTAGAAAAGGCTAGTTTTGATAGGGTAAATAAAATGGTCAGAAAAAATAGAGCCATTTGAATCTATAAAATGACCAAATTTTGTGGTATTGAGAGTGTTTGTAGGATAACGTTGTGCATAGTTAGTTTGCCAAAGCCACATAAGCTGTATAAGAAAAGAAAGAACCTCATGAATTGGTAGGTCGCATTATTGGTTTGTTAAGGAAAATGTGTGTGTGTAAATGAGACGAAACACGTGGGGTCATGTGCCATTTCCACTACATCTATATATATATACACATATATATCCATTAATCGATGTGGTGTGTTGGATATTGAATATAGATTCCAGCTGGTTTGCTCGTGGAGGTTCCGTTCTTCATTCTGCCATTGAAAAGACCCCACTCCAAGCAATTATGGACGACGTAAGTGCTCAAACTTTCTGCTTTTTATTTCATTTTTTATATTTAAATTTCTAATCTCAATTGATGCTAGATGTCTTCTCGATTCCTTGTGAAGTATTAAAAGTATAATTCAATTAATTGAGCAATATCTGTGTCTTATTTAAGATTTATTATAAATTTTAGAGTGAAATTATAAATGGAAAGTTACTTTTATCCTCTCTTTTAGTTTTGCTTGTATCATACCTTTGCTGAAGGATAATAGAGTGAGTGCTCAAAAGCTAGATATGCATGAGAAAGTGAGTGGAATCTGTATGTGGGTCTAGATTTTGATTTGAGAGTAGATTAGTCCTAAATTATGGTTTGCAAATGTATTATATTTGATCCTTTATTATAGGCAACTATTTAGTATGATTGAAGATATTTAGTCTTCCATTATAATTTATCGTAGGTACGATATTTGACCTTTTATTATATATAAATATCTTATATGATATTTAGCTTTCATGGTAGTTTATATAGGTATCATATTTTCCCTTCTATTATAGACATATCTTATATTCATTTTGATCTTTCCATTTTTCTTTCTAATTTATTTGATTATGTAAATGATTGTTTACTATCATTTAAGACGGTGGTTTTAGCAAATATTTTCAAAGAATACTGATTAGATATCGAAACTGAGTGAGAGATTTAGTTACAGGCCTACTTCTAAGATATCGAAAGGGCATTGCTTGTTTTCATTTATTGCCTTCATTTAGACCCTTCTTTAGGTATTATTATTAGTTTCGTTCTAAAATGCGAAAGGAATTATTATTAGTTTGGGTAGATCGGGATTGTTTCTCTAATAATGTGGATCACTTCTATATTTTTAACATATCTTAATTTTAATCGTTAGTATTTATTAATGCTCTCAGTTGTAAAATAATTATGATTATTTTCATTTATTGATAAAATTAGAGGACTAATTAAGATGGAATAAATGATATTTTAATTTAAAATTTGCTAAGTGTTAGTGACTAAATTTATAATTTAAAATTTTTAATATTCTCAATTTTTAGTTCTTTTATTTCTCTGGTCTCTGTTGTGTGTGACCAGTCCAGTCCTATAGGGAGACTATTAGTGTAGATAATGATTCAGGCATGTTGGATGTTTCTTATTTGGATCTAAATATTATTGTTTGTGTTTAAGATTTTCTTTTCTATCCCTTTTATCCCTTTTCACCAGCTTCACATTTTGTCCCACGTATATTGTTTTATGATCGTGTTGGATGTTGATTTGTAATGTTTCATTGACTCTTTCATTCTTACTCTACTTTCGAGGATGAGATAATGTTTCTATCAAAAGTATAAGGATCTTTTACTTTATTTATCTCGAATGCTTTGGTTGAAAATATTATTTATAATGCTCTAAAAGAATATAAAAAAAATATATGAAAATAGAAATCCAGTAATTAAATAATTGTGTTTAGTCTTATATTCAGGAATAAATAAGTGTGTTTAATCTTGTATGAGTTGTGTTTAGTCTTGTATGAGAGAATGTTACGAGAATTTCGTATAAATAAAATATTTTCAACAATTTTGTTATGTTATTTAATTTTAGATAGTTAATATATTTTATTTTTATTAAGTCAGATTATTATTAAAATTTTAAGACGGTCAATCTTAACCTCTCTCATATAATCAAATTTAAACAAAAAATAATTTATAAAATTAAAGAAAAGATAAGTATACGTGTTATATTAAAAAAAATTAAATATAATAAATTTATCTCACTCCCAATATAAAACACAAATATTTTAATTCATTATCATTTATAATCTCTTCTCCTAAATGGTTTATTTCAAAGCTCCAAAATTGAAAGATAAAAATAAGTAATAAAAATAACGAGCAAACATTAAAAAAAAAAAAAAAAAAAAAATCCAACATGCACCACAAATAATAGAACAAAAAAAGAGAATTATATTAAAATATATATAAAGAAAGTCATGCCAAAAGAAAAAAGAAAGGTGGGAAGAGGTGATAAAAATAAAAATGTAAAAGTAGCAAAAAAAAAAAAGAAGAAGAGATGGTGTTTGAGGAAACCCATGAGCTTTGATGGGTAACAAGATGTATGTTTTTCTATGTACAATGTCCCCTCAAGACCCTCAACCAAAACGGGCCCTTTAGGGTGAAAGAAGGGATTGAGTTGGTATGTTAATTGGGCTAAAAATTGATACTTTCATACAATGTGACAATGTATGAATTATGCTTGCTTGCCTTCTTAAATGTTCGGGTCCAACTATACATATTTTATTTAACCGCTCTATATTTTAATGCTTGCTTGCCTTGTTAAATGTTTGGGCACATGTACCCTACATAAATTAATTAATGTAACTACGATTTAGATACTTTTAGATTACGTAATATTATTTTTTTATTAAAAAAAAACTACCATTTATGATTAGGAATAGATCTACATTAGCATCATGCCTCATCGAGCTATCTTTATTTATTATTTCCTTAAAAAAAAAATATTGAAATGAGTTGTTGGTTTGTAGGTTTTTTTTTTTTTTTAAATTTTATTATTATTATTTTTTTATTTTATTGACCTCATAAGTGATTCATTTTTTTTTTTTAATTAAAAAAAACCAGTTGAGCCAGATTTGAAATATTTGACCACCACTTAAATTGGATTTTCAAAAATGAACTTGAGAAAAAAAAAATCATTTTTGAAGGAGACACTTTGAAACGAAAATATAGAAAAAGGATTTTTGAGGATGATAGTGAACTCTGAAATTTTGTCCACGTCTAGAGAATGATCATGTATTTATAATTAAGAAATATTCTCTCCATGTATGATGTTTTGTGGGGAAGCTCAAAACCACGAGAGTCTATCCTCAAAGTAGACAATATCATATCATTCGGGAAATTTTAACCTTGATTATAAAAAATTTTAAAATATTCTGAGACTACTTAACCCAAATCTCTATATCTTTTACTTCTACCATGATCTTCGTCAGCGGCCAAAGACTCACCACTGCTAGCCATCAATGCCCATCCACCGAACTAACAACTACCACGCACCATTGTCGACTGCCAATGCCCAAAAGCTAGCAACCACCACCAACCATCACTCACCACCATTGACTTCTAGTGACTAGCGAAAACAACTTGTGACTAACAACAATAACTAGGACTAAGGATGAAAACCAACGATCACTTCAACAATAAATCGTTGGAGTGATCCTTGGTCACCGACCATCGTCTCTTGTGTTCAAGTCATAGTGTCACAATTTGAGTTCTAAGTTGTTTGAATCAAAGATTTTGACGTGGGTTGCATAAATTTTTTTGCCTAATAAAATATACACAGTATACTTGATAAACAATAAAGAGCTAGGGCCAGTCTAAAATACACCATAAGTTGTATGATTTTGATCGTGGTCATGATGCAGCTAAGGAACTACACTCTTAAGGGTTCCTTCTTGAGAATCTGAATTTTGAGTCCTTGATCAATCCATGTCTAAGCCTCGTCCTATATACCCATGTAGTCCCTTATCTCTCTCAAGACAAATTTACAAAGCATGAGTTATATCTAGAAGTCTACATCTATTTCCACACTTAATCCAGTCATATATTTCTCTCAGTCCTACATACCCATGTGATCCCTCACCTCTCTCAAGGCAAGTTTATAGAGGATGAATCTAATCGATAAGCCTATGCCCATTTTCACATCCAATACATATTCATGAATTGATATGGGTCCTACATACTCACGTGGTTCCTCACCCCTCTCAAGACTAGTTTACATAGTCATGTCCATTTTTACATCCAATACATAGTCATAAATCTTGAATTTGAGATATTTTCTTAACCAATCTAGGTCATCAGTACAAAATTGTGACGCTACCCGTCAGGCTAGTAGAATCATACATGACATCCTGCCAATTGAGGCAAGGCATCCCACCAATCGAGGTGAGAAATCATGAGTTCATGGCATACTAAAGAGGTAGAGAGATCTAGGGTAACTTAAGGCATCTCTAAGCTAGGCTCGATCCATCTCATGGGGTGATACTTAACTATTAGGACGTTGTGTTAGGGTCATGATTCCCGTTGTGTCATATTATGAGTTTAGCCCACTTGGCTAGCTATAATCTTAGAGCTAAGACATTGTGTCATGTTTATTAGATCCTACCACCTAATTTTTAATAATAATTTTAATTATTTTATTAGTAATTTAATATTATCAATAGTATGAAAAATTTAAAGTGATTAATGTAATATTGAACAATATGTGATTGATATACGAGAGGATCTTGTTCAAGCAATAAACTAAAGAGTTTACTGTATATGGATATCATTGAGTTTCTTATCTTGATAACTTTATTGATACGACTCATTTTGTAATTATTACAAATGATTTGATCTAAATCGTTCATGTGGAGACATGTGAGTAGGGTCCTATACAATGAGTTGTATAAAACAAGACCACAAAATATATAATATATTTTTATAAATCTGTTAATTGAGAGGATTAATATTTCACAAGATGATCACGTGCAACTCGATCTTAGTTATGAACTTCTACCTTTGAGGGCTTGCCTTCGATTTGTGTCATGACCCGATTTTAATCTCGAATCGCGACTAATTTAAAACATACTTGAAAACATAAAACAAAGTAAAATGTGTACAATAAATTTTTTTGTTTAAAAATATAAATACATTTTATTTACAAATCAATAATAAAGTTTAAATAGATTGGACTCTATAAACAAAACAACTTAGAATTAATATCAAATCAATTAAAACACAACGTGGTTCTATATGACTATGACTCTAGATCCGTTTCCATTTTCGACCAGCTCCATTTGGTCATCTAAAAAACATGAGAGAATAGGAATGAGTACAAAGACTAAGTAAGAAATGGTACAATCTAGAACTCACAACCTTTTATGAACGTAATAAAATAAAAGACATGGAGTGTCTCAACAACTTGTGCATTCACTTGTTGTCCATCCTTCCTTGTGTGAGCCTTTGTTCATAACATAATCCTTGAGATCGAAGTTGGATCCGAAGAACTTTTCTTCTGTAAAACGAAATAAATATACTAAATTCACAAATACAATATGAGAATTGAATAAAACTACAGTAATATTGATACTCGCTATCTCTTAATCCAAACGAGCATACCCTTTCATACTACACGTATGAGGGAGTTGTCTCTTCTTCATGGCTTCAAACTTTCCACTTTTCAACTACTCAATAAGACAACATATGTTTTTGTTATAGCAGAGTATATAATCAAAAACATCATAAGTAATTTTTTGAATATATGGTTTGTGCTCTTACGCTTGTGTTGCAGTTGCCTTCTTGAGTCATCCTAGAGACCATAAGGAGGAACTCGAGATATGGGAAGCCACCATTTTTCTTCTTAACGCTGTAGCACTCTATGGAAAGAGGAAGACCCATTATTCTCGGGGCCAGTATTTGTTGATCAACATACTCGAACTCACAAACTTCAAAACTATCTAACATTTCCTGCCTAAACACTACAAGAATGAAGGCTTTTGATAGCGTTTAAAGATAGCATTTTCTATTTAATACAATTATAAAGAACCAAAGAAAAAAAAAAGCAAAAAGCTGAGAAAACAACCAAAAAACTAATTCAAAATTAAATAAAGTAGGAAAGAGAAAAAGGAGGGAAAGAAAAGAAATTGGAGAAGTCCCTCCCATTGAAACTCTAAAATCTATGATAATAAGAGAAAAACTCTCTCCCTTGCAACTCTCTCCCACCTATTTCGTAAGACTATCTCATCAAAATAACTCTCTCCCACCTATTTGGTCAGACTATCTCAGCAAATAACTCTCTTCCTTGTAACTCTCTCCCACCTATTTCAGCCAGATTATCTCAGCAAACAACTCTCTCCCACCTATTTCTGCAGACTATCTCAGCAATCTTGTAAAAATCACTCTCCCACTGTCTCGGCAAGCTGTGAACTGGTTCTTAGGTATGGGTTAGTTTAAAATCTTATGTCCATCTCGTTTTCATCCCCTCTCTCTACCTTGCTTCTTTTTTAGTTTTGTTTAGTATTAGGAGGTTTGGATTGGGGATTGAGGTGTGTGTATGAGTGAGTTTTTTGGCTGCAATGACCCTACTCATGTATTTACACATACTCCATATTGATATTTTTTTGCTGCTGAAATTTTTTGTTACTACAATGACTTTTCACTCTACATCGCTAGAGTAAGCAACGTTTTAAGGGAAAAAATACATATTGATACTAATATATATTTGCTGAAGATAAACACACTCCTCCATCAATGATCAACATTTCAATGACCCTACTGAATAAATATTATTTTGCTACAAAAATATATATATGCTCTTGTAAGGAAAGTATTTGTAGCTTTCTAGTGATATATGAGTAAAATTTCTACTAGAATAAGCAACATTTTAAGAGTATGTGTGATTTTTTTAGGAGAATTATATATTATAAAACTTGTATTAAAATTTGGATAAAATAATTATGAAAATATATTGAATCTTGCAAGATAATTATGGAAAATTAGAAAAATAATTCAATTTGAGCGTCTTAATTTGTTTTCGTTCTTTTAATTTTGCTTTGCTTATGGATTTTTTTTATTTGTTTGATTAGTCCATTCTGAGGCATTAGACAAAGTGCCAACAAATGGTGGTTTAAGGTTTAGCTAACGGATTAAAATTAAAGGTGTTGAACAGATAACTAATTGTGAGTTACCTTATTTTTGTCTTATTTTTAGAAAGATTTGAATGTACTTGTTACACTAAGTTTTTACCTTTGGTGGCTCTTTTTTATTATTATTATTATTCTTATCATTATTATTATTATTATTATTATTATTATATATATATATATTATGCTCCAACTTTAAAGATAACACAAATATATCAGAGTTATCGATATCTCTTTTCTTAAATTGTGATTGTGAACCAAGTTATCGATAGTTCAATTGATCATCCTATTAAACATACTAGAGCTTTCAAAATGTTCAACAAATATTGGTTGTATTTGAATCGGTATGAGAATATAAGTATCAATACACTTTATTTTTAAGACACATATACTTACCAAAATTGACTTTGTCTAATAGTACTACCGATGAGTACATGGAAGGAGCATGAAAATTTCTACAAGAAATGAAGAAAAGGAAGGCGGATGCCAAAAAGTTTCTATGTCCATGTAAAGAGTGTAGGAATATGAGACATTATGATATCCAAACCATATATGAACACTTAATCATTAAGGGAATGGACCCTACATACAATCTTTGGTATCATCACAGAGAAGTATGTGAAGAGGATGATGTTGAAAATGAAGTCGATGATGCTTTTATGTTGGAAGCAACCATCTTATATAAGAGCACATATATTGGAGAGGATGACAAGAATGATTCTTTTACATCAAGGAAAGACAAAAATATTTCTCACAATATCCAAGAGGCAAACACTCCATTGTACACAGGATGCACAAAATATACAAAAATATCAGTAGAGTTGTGGCATTGTATAAACTTAAGACATATAATGGTTGGTCAGATGCTAGTTTCACAAGCCTTCTGGAACTTTTGTATGACATGCTTCCAATAGATAATGTCATTCCAAGATCTATTTATGAAGTTCGAAAATTGTTCAAGGAATTTGACTTAGGCTACCAAAAAATCTGTGATGTCCCACATTGGTTGGGGAGGAGAACAAATCACCCTTTATAAGGGTGTGGAAACCTTCCCCAAGTAGACGCGTTTTAAAGCCTTGAGCGGAAGCCCGAAGGGAAAGCCCAAAGAGGACAATACTAGTAGTGGATCTGGGTCGTTACAAATGGTATCAGAACCAGTCACCGGACGATGTGTGCCGGCCTTTTCGCTGTTCCCCGAAGGGGTGTAGACACGAGGCGGTGTGCCAGTAAGGACGCTGGGCCCCGAAGGGGGGTGGATTGTGATATCCTACATTGGTTGGGGAGGAGAACAAATCACCCTTTATAAGGGTGTGGAAACCTTCCCCTACGCGTTTTAAAGCCTTGAGGGGAAGTCCGAAAGGAAAACCCAAAGAGGACAATATCTGCTAGCGGTGGATCTGGCTCGTTACAAAATCATGCATGTGTCAACGATTGTTGTCTATTTAGAAATGAGAAAGAAAAGTTGCTAAAGTATTAAGATACTTTCCTATCATTCTGCGACTTAAACGAATGTTTAAAATATATGAAGTGGGTGATGGAAAGATTCGACATCTAGTTGATTCTGTTGCATAGGAGTTAATTGATAAAAATGGCTTTTTTTCTTGGTCCACCTGTAAGGGAGGTTGTGTGTGTGACGTTAGAGAATAGGAAGAAATTACCTACAAGGCTAAAATTAATGTTATGGAAGTCTATCGAGGTATGAAGTTATTTTAATTCATTTATTTACTTTTAATCATTTGTATAATATTATTTCTAACCATTTGGTTCTTCCGTCAAGGTACATTGTGAACAATGATTGGCAGAAAAAATTTATTTTTCAACAAATGGGTAGATTTGGAGGGCTCGAAAATCTAGTATGGTAAACAAATTCACAATGCTCAACAAAAGAAGCACTAATGCAACTTATGCAAGATAATTTGCAATATGTAGATGATTGGATGGACTTTGTCAAAGAAAAAACTAGTGCAAATTTCATGGTAATGAATATTTGTACATCGAAAAACTTACATATGATATTTTTGAAATTATTATATACTTTAATATAACAAAAACATATGTTGTTTTATTGAGTAGAAAAGTGAAAAGTTTAAAGCCATGAAGAAGAGACAACTCCCACATATATGTAGTAGGAAAGGATATGCCCGTTTGGCTGAAGAGATGGTAAATATCAATATTGTAGTTTTATTCTATTCTCATGTTATATGTGTGAATTTAGTATATTTATTTTATTTTGCAGAAGAAAAGTTCTTCGGATCCAACTTCGATCTCAAGGATACACAAAGAAGGATGGACAACCGGTGAATTCACAAGTTGCTGAGACACTCGTATGTATAACTTGTTTGAAAATTACTTATTTTTAAGTTTACAAGTATTATGTTCATTGATATCCTTTGTTTATGAAGTACGTGAAAGTGGTGGTTGAAGTGGTTTCTTATTGGGGAACTTTTGAAAAAGTACTTGATTTGATTTTTTTTTCTTATAACATGTTAAACTTGTTTGAAAATGACTCTTTTTTTTATACTTTATTGGATATGTGAAAAGTTTGGAAGTATTGTATTCGTTGATATCTCTTGTTTATAATGTAAATGAAATGGGCGGTTGAAGTGGTTTTTTTATTAGTATGAGCATTCTGAACAAACAATTGACTCTGTTGAGATGTTTTTGATCATGTCTGTTAACTTATAAGGTGTGTGAAGCAATTATGGACAATTGAATTATATATTTGATATACTTTCTTGGTAGGAACGTATTGAACAAGCCGAGGTTGAGACAAAAACTTCATCAAATAATATTGTTGATGATGCCTTGAGTAAAGTTCTTGGACCGGATTGTGGGCATGTAAGAGGACTTAGATTTGGAGTGATTCGTTCTAAATTGTCTCTTTTGTCTCAACAAGAAAATAGATACATGACTCTTTGAGGAAGAATATTTGAAGATGAGGGAAGAAATGATGGAAATGAAATCAATGTTCTCAAGTTTTATAAAGAAACCGGTACATTTTTTAAAATTAAGTTATATAAACTTCACATTCATGAGTTTATTCCATATATATTTTAATTGAAATTTTTATAAATTGACCTAATCGAGGAAGCCTCTAATGGTATTGGAAGTATACAAAAATCAACAAATATTCATTCAAATTTGACAATACCTTCTCCTACGGTAAGTTGATTTTCTAATTTAACGTATAAAATTATTGATTTTATTATTACTATCAAATTTTCAATGCTTTTATTTTTCTTCTTGTAGAGCATCAATCATAATACTCAAATTAAGTGCAAGTTACTAGATTGGCATGACTCGAGAGAGATTGTTGCAGAAGGACGATGGTTTTCTAATGATCCAGCTACTCTTGTTCATCACATCCCTATTGGACCGCATGCTATTAGAGTATGAGTTGATATACCAAGGAAATGCAATGCCTATTTGTGGCGGCCTACATCGGAAATGACATGTATTGAAGAAGTTGTGGGTAGTACAGTTGCTTGGCCATGCGACAAAGTGATTATCGGTATGTGATTTTTAAAGTTTATTTATTTAAATTAATGAAATAATTTTTTCAATAGTTAATTAAAGTGTGCACATAATTATATATTCATATATATATATATTGTATATTTATATAGGTGAATAAAATGATGCATGCCTAATTCATGCCAAGGATGGATTTGATTACGATAAACTTGAAGTCAAACTTACGTGAATTTTGTATTTTGTGAACTACTTTATATATATATATATATTTTTTTTCTTTTTTGTACTTGGACAAAAACTTTATCTTGCATAGTTGAAACTTCTTTATTTTCTAAGGGGGAAGAACTTCAATTAAGAATGAATATTTTTTATTTATTTAATGTGTTGTAAAATATCCTTATTAGTAGAGGAAAAAAAACTAGTATAGAAATGATCCAAAGATATAAAGGAATTTATATAAGAAAAATAAATGCTATCAATATGCTTATAATTAAAATAATTATAAATGATTTATTACCTAGATATAACATAAAATTAAAGTTATAAATAATATATTATAGCATTTTAGATAACATACTAATTTAGCTATATTAAACATATTATAACTAAGTTATAAATAATATATTAAACATATTATAACTCAGTTATAAATAATATATTATAGCATTTTTTTGTAAGTTAAAAATAAAGATAGCATACTATTTTAGCTATATTAAACATATTATAGCTTAATAAAAATGGCTATAAAATGTTTTCATGATAAAAGCTACAAATTCATACTATATTATAACATATATTATAGTTATAAAAAAACGCTATAAAAAGTTTTGGACTTTTAAAAATATGGGCTATCACGACGTACGAAAAATGCTATAAAAAGTCTACGGTAGCATTTTTCGTAAGCTATCATACTCATTGTTTGTTGTAGTGAAAGTTTATTTTATCGAATTCAAAATAGATCCGAAGTGATTGTAACACAGAGACAAGTGAACATTGATGATCATACAAGAAGCATGTTGTCCCGTTTTCGAAGAGCAGGAAGATTAACATAAAGATTCGAGGGTGGTCTGCGCGCTATAACCCTGAAGGGTCATAAAAAATCTCATAAAAATTTGATGCTTTACAAATACCTAAGCATATAAACTCTCCCATTTTCACATTCTGGATGTAGTTCCGTTCTTTGATTGTATTGAACAAAAAAATCTAACTCAAACATAAAAAAAATCCAACTCAAACATAGAACCCAAGAGAGAATTGATTGTTGAAGCTTTTGAGAATGGATGGGGAAGCTTTTAGTATGTATTTGCAAAATTTACTTATAACATCTTAAATCCAAGATTCAACCCATTACAAATGCATACATTATATACTTTTAATGTTTTTATATATGAATGTATTCGTATTGCATTCACAATCATATTGACATTTAGTTATACCAATAAAACTATGAAGGCAATTTGGAGGGTAAAATAAATAGAACAGGCGTAAACGTCATACTTAAAAAACAAAGCTCATACTGCCATAAAGAGCTTGTTTGAAGTTATGTAGTACCTCAAGTTTGCTTCCATTAGGAAACGTCTGCCAAGTAGGCGTCAACTCGACAATGTGATCGCTAACACAAAGAAGCCAATCCATCTCCCTTCGCCACCACACTTTCTTCGCTTGTGGAATAGGTTCTAATCGCTACAATTGCCTAAACAAAGTGCCTATAACAAAACAATGAGGAAGGAAATCAACATTACACTCCTAGATAGAATATTAGGCACTGAGTGGAAAAGAGAGAAAGCATACCACAAAGATTTTTTAATGGCATTAGATATAGCCAATGTTGTACAAACCCCATTTCCGCTTATCTTCTCCAAGCTGCCGTTTAGAAAATCTTTCCTTCATCATCTCAATCTCTGTAGCCTCACACAACATTAAAAGATTATTACAGTTTATATGAAGAAACCCCAAAAAGGAAAGAGGGTCAAAATTACATGATGAAGATATTTTCTTCTCCAACTTCATATTATCTATGTAGTTTTTTTTCTTCATTGTCAGCAAGATTAAGTCTAATACAATCGGGTTTGTTAGCTTTTGAGTGGACTAACTCAATGAAGAAGGGGAAGATGAGTCCTCAGAGCCATTGTGACTGTACTTCTCAAGCCCTATGGTCTTCGATGTAAGAAACTTAGAGCTCAAGCTACTCTCACGTTCATGTTCTTCAATCAAATGGCAAAAAGTCTCATTTTCAGGCACAATGTGACCAATTCCTTGGCTCTTTTTAACCGCACTCTGCTCCATTACAATTTCCTCTCATCAATCATTGTCATAGCACACAATCAAAGCAACCCACTTAGACTCCACCCATTAGAAGCCTTATCAATCTAAGCCCTTCCGCAAATTAAGCTCAAAACACAAATTTTGGACGGTGATTTCAACACCTATAAAGCCAAATCAAAGAAAATAGGGTTCAAAGGCCACCATTATTAAAGGTAAAAGACATATAAAGATAACCATAAAAAATCAAAGAAAAAGAAGAAGTAGGTCAAGCATGAAAAAATTGAAAAAAAAAATACTGGTTCATCTCACCATTCCCCTCGAATTGAAAACACATAGCAAAAGTTCATCGACAAAAGGAGTGACAAATCATATTTGACGAATACTAGACATGGATGTTTGGAGATTACATTCGTAGTGACATGGTCAACAAATTGAAGCTCAGGGTTTTGAAATTTTGTATTGAGAGAGAAGAAACACAACCAAAGTTATTAAAATAAAAATGGGCAAGAGAGCTGGAAGGAAGGAGCATCAAAATAAAAATGGAACGATAAATAAAAAAAAAGTACTAAATGAAACTTGGTTGGAACTGTTTGTTTTTTCAAGGCCTTTATAGCTATTAAATGTACAATTTCTTGCAGCGGATACTCAATTGTTGTAGTGGAAGCGAAAGTAAGATCTATCGCACGCACAACTCACAAACAGGAAGTAAACAAAAAGATTTACATGGTTCGGAGAGAAGAAATTTTCCTACATCTACCGGAGGTAACCAATCACTATGACGAAAGTGTTTACAAGTGTATTTCACACACTCTCACACCACAAAATCTCTAAACAAAATTTTCTCCCAATTGTCTGTAGTCAAATACAAAATGATAATGACTACACTTGACTCCACACTTACGAAACAATAATAGACAAGCCTTTGCATAACAATACTATTCTCCTACATGAATCAAATAAATGAGAATATTAATCAAAATGGTTATAAACTAAACGAGGATTAATAACCAAAATAAATGGGAATATTAATCAAAATGGTTATGACAGTACATCTTATGACAATTTACAACCATCTTTACCTTTTCAGAAGATCCCAAGGTAGATAACCGAACCCCAAAGCAGATAACTGGTTTGATTGCCATCAAATCAACATGTTACTTCTTCCTTCCAACATTCACCAGATTCAAACAATGTCAAAACTTTTCACGAGCAGCTACCTTTATCAGCATATCTGCAGAATTATCAGCAATTCCAATTTTCAATAAACGAATGTTCCCTTCATTAATAATTTCTCGAACAAAATGAAATCGGATATCAATATATTTGGTACGAGCATGATAGACTTGGTTCTACGACAAACAAATAGCACTTTGGCTATCATAAAATACATCTATGTGTTCCTGAGAAATACCCAAGTCATTAACCAAACCATGCATCTAAATAGCTTCTTTAAAAGCTACCATGACAGTCATATACTGTGTTTTGGTGGTAAAAAAATGCAAGAGTAAACTGCAATATTAAACGCCAACAAATAGGTCCATCAGTCATTGTGGGCAGATAACCAGTAGTGGACCGACGCTTATCCAAATCACTCGCATACCTAAGTCGCATAATGTCATAGTTTTGATATATTTTGTTCTTTTGAATGTACCACAGTAGCATGCCCCATTATCGTGGTTCCATTAAGGTAGTATATGCAACCTCTTCTAGTCCCTCTAGTTATCACCAAAGTTCCACAAGTTACTTTCAAATTTCCTCCTTCCAAAGTGATACGATAACCATTCGCATCCAAGACACCAAGAGATATCAAATTAAGAACTCTTTGTTAAGGACATACCTCACATCATACAAAGATTTCTTCAATCTACGTACCAAAATTTGTTTCTCATGTTAGGTTATGGAATCTGCTCTCTTATTTATAGCTTGATCAACGGCTATATCCAGTAAAGCTATATTTGGTAAAGCTATATATGGTAAATAGCTGTATATAGTAAATGGTTAAATCTGGTAAAACTATATATAGTAAATAGCTATATATAGTAGATGGTTAAATCTGGTAAAGCTATATATAGTAAACTGAACTATATATATATCCCGTCCGTCCGGTAGAGCTTTGAAAATGTACTTTTTCTATTATCTGTATTCTCTCTTATACATACTCATCAATACAAATTCTTTTAGCCAGAGGTCTCCTTGCAATTTTCTCTATCATTTTTTTGTGTTCATCTAGATCGAGTGTGTGCGTTGTTGTGCGACCCTAACAATTGGCATCAGAGCTAGGCGAAATTCACCACGATCTGTGAAGATGGAAAGTTCAAAGATTGGAATTGATAAGTTTGATAGATCTGATTTCGGTTTCTGGAAGATGTAGATTGAAGATTATCTGTACCAGAAAGATCTTCACCAACCCCTATTGGGGGTGAAGCCGGATACCATGACCACTGAACAGTGGAAGCTCAAGGATCGACAAGCCTTGGGGCTGATCTGATTGACGCTATCTAGAAACGTGGCGTTCAACATTATCAAGGAGAAGACCACGTCAGATCTATTGAAGGCGCTGTCAAATATGTATGAAAAACCGTTAGCTATGAACAAGGTGTATTTGATGCGGAGATTGTTCAATCTACAGATGTTTGAAAGTGAATCTGTTGCTGATCATATAAATGAATTCAATATGGTTGTAAGTCAACTGAGTTCGGTGGAAATTAATTTCAAAGATGAAATTAAAGCGTTGATTTTGATGTCATCTTTAACTGAGTCATGGGATACTGTTGCCGCAATCAGTAGTTCCCGAGGATCTGATAAACTGAAGTTTGATGAAATTCGAGATGTAGTTCTCAGCGAAAGTATTCGCAAACGAGAAACTGGAGATTAATCAGGCAATGCTCTCAGTGTTGATCGAAGGGGAAGAAGTATATCAAAGAGCTCAAACAAACATGGGCGATCAAAATCAAAGAACCGGGAAAAATCTCCAAACAAACCCAACGTAACGTGTTCGAGCGGTGGGAGAAAGAACACTTTCGAACAGATTGTACAAAACTGAAGAAGAAGCAGAATCATAAATCTGAAGATGATGATTCTATATATATAACAGAAGATACTAAGGACGTTTTAATCCCTAGTGTGGACAGCCCAACGGATTCCTGGATTTTGGATTCAGGTGCATCGTTCCATTCGTCTCCAAGTAAGGAATTGTTTCGAAATTTTAAATCAGGAAATTTGGGGAAGGTATATCTTGCTGACAACAAAACCTTGGAGATTGAAGGGAAGGGAGATGTCTCCATACAAACTTCAGCAGGAAATCAGTGGATATTACAAGATGTCAGATACATTCCTGGTCTCAAGAAGAACCTGATCTCTATTGGTCAGTTGGATAGCACAGACTATGCAGCAGAGTTTGGAGAGAGTTCGTGGAAGATTGTGAAAGGCGCCATGGTTGTTGCATGTGGCACAAAATTCGGAACCTTATTGTAACGCCCCTAATTTTCTCTAACCTAATTAGTGACGTTACCTTATACTTGCATAATCAACAGAACAAGAGTTCATGTAAGACAGTCTCAATAACCACAATGCGTTCATTATTATAAGCAGATCATACCTGGGGAAGTCAATAACGACAACCTAACCTAGAAATAAACAACAGAGAACTAGAGGAAACAATTGCAATAACTATGAACCCAAAAGAATCCAACAAGGCTCCTACGACACTACAAACTCTCCTCAAGATTTCCATGGCCTTCGCAGCATCCACCGTCAGCCGTACATGGGAGCCTTGCCCTTACCTGAAAATACGGGTAGCACGTGGCTTGAGTATTATATAAAATACCTAGTAAGTCGCCCCACTGTTGGGGTTAAGCACATAATCATACATCTGAATACAAGTAGTCGCACACAATACACATACATGTCGCACATAATACACCTACATGAGCACAAGTGTTAAGAGAGAGAAACTAAGAGAGGGGTCTGTCTTCCATTCCTTCCCGTGGCCTTAGTCCCTTGCTTTGTCCGGGCGGGGGTGGATGCATGGTACTTTCCCACAAATGGCCCACATGTGTGACTGTGGGCCCACCAAGGGAGCTCGCAAGCAAACCCCCTGGGCCTGGCTTGGTCGGGTATGTATGACATACAATACCGGACGCCACGGACAAAGGAGGGCCTGTATGATATCGTGGCGAACACAATATCAAATATACGCGTCCATACCATCAGTAGCATAACGGAGGAGTGCCCCAAGTACATAACCATAGCATGTATGAGGTTCTTAAGGTTTACTTCCATGGCATTACGCCTACAACGTTCCATCCCCTCATCGCATTACATTGCATAACTGGGTCAACATCGAGCATGCATAGCATAGCGTATTAGTCATCTCCTTCATGGCATGCAGGGTTCTCATTACAATCATGACATGTCAATCAAACTCATACACACAGGGTAGCAAACCGTGTCACAACCGTCATATACATGATGACATACAAAGCATTTCACTGCAAGAATCACATACATAAACATGGCATACATAGCATTTTGCTACAAGAAACATCTAACCTAGCATACATCAACAACACACATGGTGCGAGCAAGGGCCACAAGGCACGCACCAACATACATACATATCTAACGCCAACAGTAAGGTTACTTACCTCCTTGGCCTTGGCCGAAGTCACCCACAATGCTAACTTTGGCGCCTAACTACCTCCTATAAGATAACATGATACACTTCGAGCCCTTTCACAACTAGCTCTTATGCCTAGCTACTAAGGTACGTCCCTATCACAAGCTATTTTATCACAATGAAGTTATACTGACCTCAGATGGCTGAAACAAGGGTGGGAGTGGCTCTAAAAGAGTCAAAAACC